GCAATCTTGATAGCAATTTGATCCTTCCATAGCGCCCTCTCTATTCTTTACATTCATATATCAGAAAAAATGTTAGATAAGCTAAATCCGATTGCAAGTCCTTGATTCTCTTTTTAAACCTATCTTTATTGGTGAAATATGCCACTCGTGGATAGGTTAAAATTGATCTTTTGATTGGCCTTACTTCCAAACTAAGATAGTGCTTAAGCAGCCTTAGGAACTTGAATATTGATAAACGTTTATACTACATCGAAACAAATAAAATTCATCCTTATCAGTCATTTGCTGATCCACTGGTTCCAAAATCATTTGTTTTAGGACAAATACTTACAGAATTGATTCCCTCTTTTTGTGTGCCTTTGTAATAACATGAGCTATGGGTTCCCTAGCGCCACTTTGAAGAGATGAATTCATTTGCCGTTACACTTAATCGTTGTTTATACATTTTAAATGTGTCCCAAAGTCTAGTCCTAAGACCTTCGGATTATAAATGGAGATTAATTTTTATTTCTCTGCTTTTCTTTTCTTCCGGAAACTTATTTTTCAGCTTAATTAAACCCATATTTCCACAAGCAAATAATAATTCACGCTTAAACCATATTTTCAAATTTATACCTTGTTAGCGATCACATTTCTTTTCATTTTTTAGGAAGGTCAATACGAGGAGGCCTTGTCTAATTATACCACTGCTATATCTCTAGTTCCTGATTGGGCAGTGTTATACACAAACCGTGCTATGACCTTGTTTAAATTAGAGAGATTCGCATCTGCTGAACTTGACTGTACTATGGCCCTTTCTTTGGAACCTGATAATATAAAGGCCTTCTTCAGGTTGTCGCAAATTTTGCATTGAATACCCTCCATTCATTCTCATTTTTTTATTCAATGATTTTCCTATGCCTACAATTGATAGTATACTAGTTCCCTGTAGTCAATACATTCCTTTGTTGAGAATCGCCTCCCCTTGTTGACATTAGTTTGGAGCTATGGTTTTGCAACAGGACGCTCGGGCCCTCATTCATGTGCATTTAAAATCACTAGATTAAATTAAGAGATTCAAAATTAAATTATAACCTCGATCTCTTGTTAATTCTATACAGTGGCTTTTTTAATTTATTAAAGATAACCTAAAAATTTAGTTTACTGAGCTAAAACGGAATTTCTGATTCCACACCAATCCTAGCTTATTTCTGTTGCCAAAATTAATATTACCTTATTCTTTGAGACTAATGGTATGCTTTTCAGTCTAGTAAATATATTTTTTAAGGTGGTGAAAGACTGGTAGTAGAATTTTTCCACAATGATATGAGTAGAGCTGACGTTTCCATTGAATTTCACATAGCCTGGCTTTCCCAAAAGTTGTTTTCATCCAGGCTGAAGTGGACTACAGTTTCAACCTCGCATCGGTCTTATCAGCATCCCTAGCAGGAGTCGAATCGTGACAGTTCAGCATGTGAGCCTGACACGTTGACCACTCGGCCACATTGCCACGAGTGTCCTTGGATCACAGGGCCGATGTGAATTTCAAGGAAGGCCTGGGCACTCGTGACAATGTGGCCGAGTGGTCAACGTGTCAAGCTCACATGCTGCACTGTCACGGTTCGACTTCGCTGGGGGTGCTGATAAGACCGATGCGAGGTCGAAACTACATTACACTTTGGATGAGAACTACTTTTGGGAAAGCAAGACTATGTAAAATGCAATGGCAACGTCAGCTCTACTCATATCATTGTGGGAAAATTCTACTACCAGTCCTTCCTCACCTTAAACGAAATAGGGTGAATACATCTCCTATTACTGATTTATTAGTAGTCTCGAAACTCCACTGAAATACGAAAAAAATATTTTTGTTCTAATTTTCATTAAAATTACATCTATCGGAAGCATGTAAGACTAATTTTTCCCTACCAAGTTTCATTTTTAGTTTCCTATTATTTTAAGGTTTGCTAGGCCATTTTTTATCAATCTATCACACCAACCGTCATCGTTCGGTAAATATGTAAAATTGCCATTCACTTTGTCCATCTGTATACGGTTTAGCAATGATTGACGGACGAATCTGCATATATTCTGACCTAGATTGTGAATCACTATCACACTTGCCTTCTTTTCTGCCTACATAATATGACCGTAATTGGATAGATCCTTGTAGCACAAATTTACTTTAAACGATTTTAATTGCTGGACATTATGGCATTAAGTAAAAGGCATAAAGGCCTTACCAGACCTATTTCGTTCATCCAATCACATATTTTAGTCATTGAACCCATTACGGATTATTTCCTTTTTATGTTGACTAGGTTAAGTCACCCTGTTAGCGCCAAGTTTTTTGGTGGGCTTGATTTTTCCCTTGTCTTTGCAGTCACCCAAAGTCCCTCATGGCGTTCACTTTCTCTAATTTAAAAAGCTATTTTGTAATTTATAAAAATTTCCTGGCTCTATCTATTCATTTACTTTCTCTTTATTAGACGGGCTTTATGTCGTAAGGCTCTGGATCACCACGAACATGCTCAACATGACCTTGAGGCCGTGCTTAAACGAGACCCGAAGAACAGACTAGCTCTTGATGAGTACAAGGCGCTTACTGGCAATACTTTCCATATTCAGATAGAACAATCTCTTGAACAAAACTCCTCGACTCCAGATTTTGATTTTAGACGTATTCCCATCGTCGAGGTTGGCGCAGACTGCATTTCGTCCATACCCAAAATATCCAATGATCTGGGAAAAGCGAGTGAAGACGACCGTCTTGTTCCTCCTGGTGACTCCTTGCCAAATCAGCATAGGCCGAAATCTACATCTAAGTCTGGAGAAACAACTCACAAGACGATATCATCGTCTAGTAGCCATTCACTTCCAACCACTGAGGGCTCCTCACTTGCCTCTCATTCGGAGATATATTCAAATCCCAGGTTACTTGAATGCGAATCACATACCATTCCAAACAACTGGTTTCAAATGGAGCGAGATCTTCGCGATTTGATCACGGGGCATTCCACACCTGGCAAGTGTCTTCCCCAATCAGCTGTTACTTACATCTGCCGGATTCCAGCTACAAGCTACTCTCATTTGATCGGTCAAAACCTGGACGGTGACTTTCTTTCTCGCCTGTTACAGGCATTCTATCAAATCAGTGTGGGCTCATGCCATCGGCCAAAACTATCAGAATCGACACAGCAAACAATCATTGAAAAAGCCTCAACACTTCTTTCGCCTTCTGAACTGGCTGAACGTCTTATCGCTTTGACTGAGCTTCCGCGATTCGATGTTGCAGCCATGCTTTTGGACGACCAGCCAATTCAGCAGGCTCAACAGATTATCAAATGGATTATTTCAACAATTACCCTAAAATCTGACTTGACATCTCGGCTTGAGACAGTTTGGTCTCCTATATGCTCAGTCTGATACCATTAGCAGACCCCCTCCTTTTTCATTCTTTTTGATTCCAAACCGTTGCTCTTGATATCAAAGGCTTAATGGGCTAAAATTGCTTCTTAATTTTGATCTGTACTGTCTCATTGATAAGATATTTTGGCCTGGACTTTGTGGTTAGCCTTATCCAACTTCTGATATAAGAATTTGCTCGCTTATGATTTTGAATTTCGTAAATGAGCGGGTTATTAGGGCTTTGGTATTTACAAATCATTTAATTGAAGCATGGGTTCGGATCATGCTTTCTGTTTGTCAGCTTGCTTGTTTTGGGCTTCAAAAAAATTTCATTGTTACGTTCATTCTATCTATCCAATTGGTGCTTCAATTTGCAATCTTTCTAGGGGCATGTGTCCTCGCTGTAAATGTGCACGAAATCATTTAGCACTGCCATGGCGATTATTTAATAGGCTTTTATGATTTATTTTGAATACATTTACCGGAGGGGCTTAGGGAGTTGTCATTTTCCTTATATTTAGATACTGCTGAATACTAGCTTGAGACAACCTCATT